CAATCTTGGGAAGGAGATACTTGTTCTTGATTATGACCCTGTTTAATCCTCTGTAATCAATAAATAATCTCAACGTTCCATCTCCCTTTATGACAATATTGACTCCGGCACACCAAAGGGACACACTATGTCTGATAAAACCACTATCTTGCAATTCAATGATCTGTTTCCTCAGTTCTTCCATTTTAACGCGGCTCATGCGGTAAGGAGCAACCGAAATAGGCTGGGTGCCTGGCTGTAGATCTATGATGAACTTGACTTTCCTGTCCACTGGCAGTCTGGGTAGTTCATCTGAAAACACATCTGGAAAGTCTCGGACTACTGGAATCTCTTGGATACAATTCTCTTTCTTGGGTTTATCTACTTAGAGAAAACAGCAAGGTTAAGGTACTCGACGAATAAAAAAACTTATCATCAATGAATAAGTACTAGATGATTTTATTAATTTGTAAATGGCTCATCATTAGGAGAATTGAATACAACCTTTTTGCTAAAACAATCTACGGTGGCGTGATACCCCGTTAGCCAATTCTTCCCTAAAATTACATCAAAATCCCCCGTATCTAATTCTATTAGGTCTACACTTAATTTCTTATTTGCTATCTTTACGGTACAAGCCTTGTAGACAACTTCTCCCAATAGTGTTACACTCCCAGCAGTAGACACAAATAACATTGAATCAAGTTTATCAGGTAATATATTAAATTTTGATGTAAAAACATGTAGAATCAAATGAATGCGATGCACCAGTGTCAATCAAAACATGAGTAAGATGGTTACAGATAGTATACATACCCTGTACTACGTCCTACCACTAGAGCCTGACGGGGAGCCTGGATCACCTGCTTGAGCCTCTTGTTCTATTGGACAGACACAATAGATACTGGTCTGCGGGCTGGAGCTGAGGGTCTGAGGTTCCCTGCTGCCTGAGGGAGGGTGTGGAAGCTCCTCTTCACCAGCTGTGCCTTGGCCAGAACGGCCGAATATGTCTTGAGCTCCAGCATGAACAAATGTTGTCTGATCTCTGAGCGGAGGTCCCCACTAGAATCTCCTAACCTTCCTGTCCTCATCCAACAGCGTCTCAGGGGAGTATCGGCCCAACTCTAGGAACTTACGAGCATATTTTAACACAGTCATGTTTCCTTGGATCAAATGGACGAACTCCATCTCCTTTAAATGTCAGAGATGCTCTAGGAGGTACTCTGCATGAAAGGCTGCTAGGAACTGTTCCCAAGTAACTGGAATGGGTAGGGTGGTCTGCTTGAATTCTTACCAGTGGTCTAGTTTTTCCACTAGCATGTAGGTAGCAAGGGTGACCTTCTGCTCAGAAGTCACCCCTAAGGTCTTGAAGGCCTTCTCTGTCTCTGCCAACCAGTACTCAGCATCTTCAAAAGATGATCCCCTGCAAAAGTGGATGAGTTTAGTCTCTTGTACCTCTCTATGTAGCCCGGGTCAATCATGGGAGGAACCTGGTCCCTTGAAAAAGGGACTGGGCCAGGCTGATGGTAGACTGGGGGACCTTGTGGTGGTATTTGTTGATATATGGGGGGAACCAAATTATACTTTGGCAGTGGTACCGGGTGGTACTGTGGAGGAGCAGGGTCGTACCGAGATAGCTCAAGATCCTCTCGCTGCAATGGTGGCTCAACCTGTGGCAACGAGGGAGCGTCAGGTAGCTCCCCCCTCTCCTCTCGACCCTGCTGGGCCGCAATGAGTCTTTCTAACATCTCAAATATCCTGTCCACGTCTTCTCTGAGCGAACCCTCCTGGGTTGCTCGGTTTAGTGGGGGTCTTTCTATTCTCATCTCTCTGTACATGCATTTCACAAGGAAGTGTTGAGTGATAATTCATTGTTTGGTGTTTCTCTAAGTATTATTGTGCAAGGGACGGGTTCGAGGAACGCGACTCTGATACCAACTGTAACGGCCCCAAAAATTTAAAAAGAAATACATATAATAATTTGAGTGCGGAAACGAAATAAAAGTTAAGGTTAACATCCCTTACACGATAATTTGAAAGTACTAACAAACATCACAGAATAAATTCTCTGAAAGAAATACAAAAAATAGAAAAAAATAAAGGAAACTATAAAGTATCTAGCATCTACTCATAGTCTTCTTACGGATCGGGCTCGGGAACCGGGTCCTCCTGATATGAAATTGTTAAATAAGGGGTGAGCTACATTAGTCAAGTAAGGATATCACAATATATTGCCGTCACAGAAGCAAAAGTTGGTAGAAAAGTAAAAACAACCAATTGAGCACAAATTTTAAACCAATGCATT